GTTCGGACGTACGCATTACCCAGCTGAATTTATTTATTCAATCAGGAAGAAGATATCGGTTGAAACAGGTGCGGGTAACGCGAATGTAATAATTGTTTGTCCGCTAAGTTACTCAAAAAGTAATAAAAATAAGGTAAGAAAAAATACTATTTTTCATGTTTATGTTGAGTTGTTGAGAGTAATTAATGACCATAATGTCTTATTATTATTTTTTAAATATAGTTTCACAAAACTTTAGGGTAACGCAATAGAATTTTTCGACAACAAAGTGGATGTTTACCGTCGCTTTTATTAAAAGTAGTTTATGATTAACCAAATTAAAATTATTTGTAATTACAACTCATGGTATAGATTACTTCCAAGGAAAAATTCCACGCAATATAAAAGTACTAAAAGGGACCTTCACCAGCTTATAGTCAAAGAAAAAGGGTGTCTACAATTTAGAAATCTAAGTTGTTATTCTGCAAGTGAGCACCACTACAAGGGATTTTGTTTATGCATTACTCTAAAATCGTACCACCCTATAAAGTTTCTTTTTTACGTTATCTAATTAAGTCCTTTGTGTACCCCTGTCCGTTGTGATACCAATGTCTATTTCGTTACTTTTTTTAGTTTTTGTTAAAAAAATACTTAAAATGATATTTATACACTATCACTTGGTAATACGTGTTTATAAATTAGAGTTTAATTCACTAATACAGTGACTAAAAGAAAATATTAATGGTATTGTTTTTATAACAAAGAATCGGAATGGTTTCTTTTAAAAAGTAACTTAACGAACATACATATTTAAAAAAAAGCATACAATTTTTAATAAAAAATAAAATAAAAAATTGGAGTCAAAAGTTTGTGAACTAAGTACATTTTATTTTAAATTATTTTTATAACAACTTTTTTTATTGAATTAAATTTTGGATTTCAAATTGGTAACACAGTGGAGAATATAAAGCTAGCTAAACACATTTTTCTGAAAAAAACGTAAAAAAATTAAAAAGTGTACTGCCTGTCTTAAATGTAAGTAAACAAAACTCTAAACAATTATAAAAATCTAACCAGAAGTAAATTTAAGCAAAAAAAATATTTTGATCTTCATTTTCATATTAGAGTTTGATTATTTTTTTTATTTTTAAGTTTTTGAGATATTAATTTTTTCAAAAATTTTGGTAGATGTGAAAAATGTAAAATTTAAATTTGCAATAATATTTATATAGGTAATTCCGGTTTAACCGGAAATGGCGTTACCGAAATGACGAAAAAAATGTTTAAACTGTATTAATTATGCAAATTTTTCAGAGAGGTAGTGCATATGTTCCTTTAATTTATTTTTTAACCGCTTAAAAGGCACTTCCTATTTAAAGGTGAATTCATTTCCTTTAACATTTCAAAACAGTGGTTTTTAAATTTTGAACATTGTCGAAGGTCTGTGAGAAAAATCACTCATGCTTTTCCAACGGAAATGTCAACTGTCGTTTTGTTTTTGTTTTAATTTAAACCCGTTAAATCGTTAGTGCCCTTAAACTAAAGTAGTGGAATAAGTATACAATATATTGTTCTCTTGAAAACAAATACAAAATCTCTTCTTTCAACCAAGTGCAACGCGTTTTTGTTCAAAGCTTTTCAGGTTATGTATCTGTCAAAGTACAGTCAACGAAAGAAATAATATCATATTTAGGCGTTAAAAATGTATAAATCTTTATAACATTAGAATAACAATGGATGGTTTAAGAATTTAAGAATATAAATACTGTATTTAATGAAATTTTTGAAGTGTATAGTGCCAAATAAGTAATATTTTTGTGCATTTGGTCCAAATATCTGGTTTTCTCCATAAAATAATTTTAACTAAACAGCATTTATTAAAAAAAAATATAGCTTCTCTATTATGGAATAAGAATATCTGTTTTAAAGGTAGGTTAATATATTATAACAAAAATATCAATTTTGTAATTTTAAGGTTAGAAAAATTTATTTTGACCAAAATAAATAAGTATTTTGGATTATTTAAAAGACAGTATAATATGGTATTTAAACATGTGGTACTTTTTCTTATCCAGCTTAAAGTGTACCTACATAAAGTTTTGTCAATACAAAGAGTTAAAAAGCTTCGACTGAATTTGATCTACATCAAAAAATCATTATAACTTTAAAAATTTTAATAAATCACATGTCATGGGAGTATTAAATATTTTCACATTGCAAGTTTCTCTAAAAATTGTTTGTTTTCTTATAATCTAACTTAAAGTAAGTATGCCGAGATGTATGCACAAGTTTTGTCGTTAGAAGTATAAAAGCTTCAATTTAATTTAAACTATATTCAATTATTTAGTATACCTATATTTATTTATGACCATATTAACACACTCTTTCAAATAATCCACTTATTTATTTTGGTCAAAATAGATTTTTCTAACCTTAAAATACAAAATTAGATAATATTTTTTGTTCTTATACATTAACCTACCTTTGATACAGCTCTTCTTATTTCATAATAGAGAAGTTAGATTTTTTTAATAAATGCTGTTTAGTTAAAACTATTTTATGGAGAATTGTAGACCCAATGCAGAAAAATATAACTTATATTGCACCTTACACTTTGGAATTTCATTAAATGCAGTATTTATATTCCTAAATTCTTAAACCAACCATTGTTATTGTGATACTATAAAGATTTATTAACTTTTAACGCGGTAACACTATAAATATTATTTCTTTCGTTGACTATACTTTGACAGATACATAACCTGAAAAGCCTTAAATGCCAAATTTTCAAAAGACTGCGTTCCGTACGTGGTCACGTGGTGGGACTTTGAGGTGTGGAGCATAGTACTTTCCCAGTGGAAAATTAAAACTCTTAAAACTCTTTTTAAATAAATGAAGAAATGTTTTTGGTTCTTGATTATTTTTTTCAGTGTACGTACACCATATTTTTATAAACTAAACTTTCGAAATATTTATTATATTAACTAGCAAACAGATGTTTCTTAATCGTTCAGAAGACATCTTACCGTTTTGTAATACAAATGTTGACAATGTTCAAAAATTACACATACATTTTATGTTTGTGTTAGTTTATACTCGTTTTTTTACGCAATCAATTAAAGAATACCCTGTATAATAATAAGAATAGATATATACGTGGATTTTTTTAATGAATTGGTTGTTTAACATTTTGTTGTGAAAACCATTATTAAAATTAATTTTTAATTAATTTTTAAAGATACTAGAAAGAAAGGTAAAATTTCCTTTTATATGTTAAAGTTCAAGGAAAATTGGTGATACATCCCCAGTATGCGATTTTCAGAAAGTTGATAATTTTTTAATAATGGTTTTTATCTAATTTATTTTGAATTACCTATAATATGGTTTACAATTGTTAATAGAATAAGTATAGATGCATAGGTACCAATTATTTTTCCATTAATATTTTTTATAAAATAAGGATGTAACAATAAAAAAATTCCGGTTTAGATAACACATTTTCATATATTTTAACAAGATTTAAAATATTAATTAATATTAATTTTTGGCACACAAAACTACTTTTTTAATTTGTAAATTATTATTTATAACTAATTTTGTTATTAAAATTTGATATTAAACAACTTTCATTACCCATAAAATTTAGGTAAATTAATTTTAAATAACCTCTCTGCCTTATTATTAATAAATTTACAAGGCTAACTTGATTAACATTTTTAGTAACCAAAATTGGATATCTCTTAAACATTCCTTATTTGTTCCCATTTACAAGTGAAACAGCAAACAAAAATGAATTGCCTCGAATCGCCGACCACTCTCTTAAGTTATTGAGTTTTGGCCACCGAGAAGCCCGGATTTGACATTTATGGATTTAACTTTTGGGGCAAACTCAAACACCACCTGAATAGGTTTTCAGATAAAGTAGTTGAAATTATAACAAATTGTTAAAATTAATAGCATTTCCTTTTGCTATATGCCTTTAGTTATTTATTGGTTATATGACCTGCAAGTTTATTTAAACCATTTGGTTATTTTAATGTGTTTAATTTAACCACTTTATTCTTCTATCTCTGTTGGGGCCACTTTATTCTAAGAATGTTTTTTAAACCTTCCAGTGAGAATATTCTTAGGATCATGCTAAATTTCTTCTAAAGAACATGCTTAAAAGACATATAGCATGATCCTAAGAATATTCTTACTGGCCTATAGGCAGGTTCTTAGAAGGTGCAAAGTTTTAGTGGTAAAAATTAGTCTACTCTAAACATAATAAGCATATTATGCTTAGAATGTTACGAAAGTAATTGCTATAGAAAGTTCATTTAGGAATATTCCTGTTAAGCATATTTAGTTTAGTTACCTATATAATAGTAAAATATACCATAAACTACGTATAAAGGTATATACCTATACTTAAGTACCTAATTAGTAATTAGTATTAAATACTAAATAAAAAACACAATCCAAAATATTATTTTATAGTTATTTGTCAAATTAAAACAATATTCGATAACAAAAATACTTTTACTATAGGTATTTTATTTTATGTTAAAAATAAATATTTATTAATTTGTATACCGATTTTTTATTTCTGAATTAACATTTTTATGTATAATAATCCTAACTATCTTCAACTTCAATCTAATCTGACTTATCCCACAAAATTTTCCAATTTTACTTTTTATGAAATAATTTCATACAACTTATGGTTTAGAGGTCAAATTGTTTATTTAATATTTTTAAATAAATATATATTAATATGTCGCAAAATTTTTTAAGGGGACGACAAATACATTTCACTGTCATATTATGACAGTGAGGCGTATTTGTCGTCTCCTGAAGAATTTTACGAATGTAGAATACAATATATTAGAACGTGGGTATCTGAAATATTTGGAAATATTCTCAAAAGCTTCCTAGAAGCTCCATATCTTCTTAGAAGATTCTTAAAATCAAATTTTGCTATCAGGGTATAGGTTCTTAAATGGTATATGAACTATTTCAACGTTTTTTTTAATGCCTACCTTATTATCCAGAAATAAGAAATAAGTAAATCCAAAAAAAAATAGTATCACCCACTAAAATTCACAAAAACACCGTTAACACTTAAATCCACATGTTATATGCAATCTCCAGATTCGTTATATTAATTTTAGTGCCTCGTATCTAGCCGGCTTGTGCGACTCGCTAAACAGTCGACTATCGTTCGACGTTGCTTGTTTAAGCCACCTGTTGCAACTGACTGCGAAGACATCGTAGCAGGCGATGCACGGACTCAGGTGAATGGTTCTGGTGTGAGACAAGAATGGTGCTACGTATGAAAAGAGACGTTTATGATTAGTTTTGTCCGATTTCAATGAAATGTTTATGGTCAAATTTTTAAAAAAATTGAAAATCTTTGTACTCACTTTTACCCATCAGTTCTGTGTCCAATGTTAAAATTCAAAATTCCTGCGAAATATTGAAGTTTAAACGTCAAGTCCTCGTTTCAAGTGTTGGTAAAAAATTACCTACAGAGCCCGCCCTTTGCACGACAGTCATCTTGAAAACAATGCAAGCGGCGAAGTTGTGGCGAATGCACGTATAGTTCCAGTCAAAATGTCAGTACTGTGGTGAGTAGTTATTTTCTTACGTATTGTAATTTATATAAGGCTATATGTGATTTGTTGATAATTAGCATCCACTAATAAAAAATATCAGTAAAATACTTAATTCCGAATTATAATCTCAAATTTGTATCCCTTCATCAGTACCGTGTTGTCAGTTCCATGTTCGATCTTTTTTTCGCAAACTTCAATTTAAATTCTGCTTGCGCAGAACTTGTTTATTTAATGTCATTATAAACTCATATAAATTTGGTGTGGCTCCCATATCTAATAATTGAGATATCGGTATACCCAAAATCCACCAGCCGCCACTGATGTGTGGTATTATTTGATTTTAAGATATTTAATGTATGATATGCTCAACGTTGCAATAAATCTTATATTTTCCAATAAATTATGTATTTAATTAGTACCCTGGTATACTCGTCACTTCCCTTGCATTCAAATTTAGAAAACACGGATATTTCAGAAACTGTTTGAAAAAGTGACTGGCCCGGTCTGGAACAGTATATTTATTATATTATCTATGTTCTCATAACAAAATACTGTTTAATTTTCTCCGAAAACTATATAAAAAATATTTCTTAATTTTAACATATAAAATATTTTTAGTCGATCAGTGTATTTCTCTGGTATGGTACACGACTTTCACATAAGATAATACGTTAAGTACCTACTGGAGGTTTTTTTAGAGAGCATGTTTGTGAAAATTTTTTATTCCTTCCGTTTCCTTATTATAAACAAACAGGAATGCAAAAATTATTCACTCAATAGTTTCGTTATCTATATTTTATACAAAAAAAGCTAGGGAACTTTCTAAGAAAGAAAATTTGTCTTGCTACAAAAGCATATATATATGCTATATGTGCTATCATGATATCATAGTGAATTATTGTGTTTTTAATTGTAAATAAAATTCAAGGACTAAATCGTTGCATTTTCATGTTTTGCCAAAGGATCCAATTCGGTAAGTACATTTGTTGGTGCAGAATTAACTAATGATAACTTTACCTAATATAATTTATATTTAAGTTGGACATTTTTAAGAAATTAGTAAAAATAATTTTTGCACAAACATAACCTTAAAATCAACCATTTTTGTATTTGAGTTCTCTACTTAAATGTGTATTTATTGTATCTAATAGGTACAATTTATATTTACAGAGACTGTATGCAATTTATTTCTCCATTCAGATTAACACTGTTTATTGGAAAACCGGTAAAAACTCAACCCAAGATTTCCTCTCGAAATACACCCAACAACACAACAATTCGAGCCACGGTTTTTTTTTGATATTTTTTAACATTTTCCGGCTTTATTCTAAAAAAAAAACTCGTTTGTAAAACACGCGTTTGACAGCTGATTATTAAAAGTCGTACTTTTGTTACGATGATAAGAGCCGAGTGGTGGCGCTACTAGCGATACTTATTTAGCGTATACTTAAAAAAATTAGCAGTAATTAACAATAACATCTCATTTACGACAATAATGGTCGCTAACGAAGACATGCAAAAAAACAACAAATAACACTATAACAATGAGGAAAGAAATGAATGGGAATAATGGATTTTGAACTTGTATATTTCTCAAGGTTTTCTCTTCTTCAAGTGTTTAAAATGTCATTGTTTTCTTTAACAAACTAAATGAGATGAAAAAATTATTAATTGCTCAACTAATTATGTAAATGCGATGTTGCCAAATCTACTTTCATTCATCCGAGAAGATGTATTATTGAATTGAATTTAAATCGATTTCCTTGTTTTTATTTTTTTTAGTACCTATAGGTAAAGTAGACAGTTTATAGTTATATAAAGTCAAATCAGATGACGCTGTATACAATTATAACTATCTCAGTCAGTAATATTATAGAACTACTTTATTTTAAAATTGGGTCCAATATAGGACAAATAAGTTTGCGCGTTACTTTAATTGGTGGTAAGATTTTTGTATTTTTGTTAAGAGCAGGCCCATTAATGATATTTGCAACAAACTATTTCAAAAGTCAGATCAAGGAATTAGTAGTTATTTTCAGAATCCAGTAAAGGGATGAGGAATCCGAGAAAGAAATTTATGAATTATATGATATTTACAAAATCGAAATAAAAAAAACTACACAAAAAAAGCAATTTATCTTTAAAAAATGTTTAAAAACTTATTTGATGTAAAGTTGTTATGTTTATATAAAAATTGTATGTCCAATAACTATAGTTCCATGTGTCCAATTACTATATAAAATGTCCAATTACTATACTTTTTGCATGTTTTTATAAAACTAATATTAAAAATTCAAATATTCTTATTTTTAAGTAAACGTAAATAAAGTTTAAACAAACAAACTATCCTTTTCATATATTTATAAGAAAAAAACTAAAATCTTGAAAACAACGGCATATATAAATTTTAAATAAATAATATTCCTTAAGTGTCCAATAACTATGTGGTTTACCCTACATGTTTAAAATTAATCAAAATAACTTAACCTTTCGAAAAAACGTATTTTGTTTACCTTGATGCGTCAAGTAAGGGTATTAATTTTACAAATTTCAACACGATTTTAATACATCTTCTGTATTTTAATTAGGTTTAAAATACTTGAAGCTTCTTGAAAAGTTTTTGTAAATTTTTTTTATTGTAAATTTGTTCTTGATTTTAAGGTCGATCAATTGAAAATAGTTTCAGGAAATGCTGGTAAAACTACTGTTTGAATGCAAAAAAATTGTAATTTTTAAGGTAAAGATGTTAATGAAACATTCCATGTCTATTCTTTAACATTTTTCAACAAATTTTGATTTTGAATTTAGAGCAAATATCTCTTATTTAAAAGCTTCTGATCTTCACTGAAATAAGACATTTGGGTGATTCTACAAAAGTTGGACAACTTGATGTCATCAGTAAATGAGTAGGTATTTTAATATTTTTTGTAAATATTTTATTATATTACAAAAGATCCAGGTTTTTTTAACTTGTTCACCCAATTTTAATGTATTTTTTCAAAAGCACGTTTGTAGAAAAACATAATAAATATTCAAAACATCAGTACCTTGGCGTGTCACAACTCCTGAATCAAATATTTGAGTGATTTTATTTTAAAATATATTCAATTTATATTAAATTTTTCAATTTTACTACAAACTATAAAACATTAAATAATGTTTTTTCATATTTTGTCATAGATTCGAATAATAGCAATTTTTAAAAAATTGATAATCTTTGCACTCACTTTTACCCGTCAGTTCTGTGTCCAATGTTAAAATTCAAAATTCCTGCGAAATATTGAAGTTTAAACGTCATGCAAGTCCTCGTTTTAACTCAAGTGTTGGTAAAAAATTACCTACAGAGCCCGCCCTTTGCACGACAGTCATCTTGAAAAGAATGCAAGCGGCGAAGTTGTGGTGAATGCACGTATAGTTCCAGTCAAAATGTCAGTACTGTGGTTTCTTACGTATATATATTTCATTGTAATTTATATAAGGCTATATGTGATTTGTTGATAAGTAGCATCCACTAATAAAAAATATCAGTAAAATACTTAATTCCGAATTATAATCTCAAATTTGTATCCCATTCATCAGTACCGTGTCGTCAGTTCCATGTTCGATGTTTCGGTTATCTTTTTTTCGCAAACTTCAATTTAAATTCTGCTTGCGCAGAACTTGTTTATTTAATGTCATTATAAACTCATATAAATTTGGTGTGGGTGCCATATCTAATAATTGAGATATCGGTATACCCAAAATCCACCAGCCGCCACTGATGTGTGGTGTTATTTGATTTTAAGATATTTAATGTATAATATGCTCAAAGTTGCAATAAATCTTATATTTTCCAATAAATTATGTATTTAATTAGTACCCTGGTATACTCTTCACTTCCCTTGCATTCAAATTTAGAAAACAGATATTTCAGAAACTGTTTGAAAAAGTGACTGGCCCGGTCTGGAACAGTATATTTATTATATTATCTATGTTCTCATAACAAAATACTGTTTAATTTTCTCCGAAAACTATATTATTGTTTCTTGCCGCTAATAATTTTGAAAAAAATCGAGAAATGCACAATGCTTTAATATATTAAACAAAAGATCAACGGTTGCCCCCAGCAACGCATTGCAATTAGTAGGTAAATAAAATTGTTGAGATATATTTATATGTTAATAGAAAAGTGTTGCTGTAGTTTGCGGTTCAAATTTAATGAATCTGGTTTACTTGGTGGAGTAATAATTATGCAACAGCAGAGTCTGCATTCTTGGGATTTTATTCTGTAAAAGGAAAAGGGCAAAATCCGTTTGCGAAGGTCGCATTACCCGAGACACCGGCAAACTAGATGTTTTGCACACGCATACCTATTCGACTACTTATACAGGGTCAACAGTTAAAAACTACCCTGATAGCAAAATTTGATTTTAAGAATCTTCTAAGAATATATGACCCGGAATAATGGAATATTCTTAGAACCTTCCCTTATTGCTAAGTATGTTCCTAGGGACTTTTAAAACATTCAATAGATACCCTTTTAATGATGCAATTAGATTCTTAGAAGCTTCTTAAAACCTTCCTAAAAAGCATCCTAAGAACATTTTAAGAATACGTTTTTGGAATGTTCTTAGAAGGTTTCTTATGGAGC